AGACCTAAATAAGGACTACATGGAACAATCTCAGCAAACTGAAGTGCTCCCTATAGTTCATCTAACACTAAAATAATATCAATTCTGGATTTAGTGGATTGTCTCGATTGACTTATTATGAAACATGTAAACATTTTTTTTTTGTGGATTGAGTCGTCAAAATGAATAAAAAACATTGAGTGTATGACAAAGATTAACTATAATCAGTTCATATGTTTCCACATAGTCAAGGGAGGGGGAGAGGATATGCCAACGATCCAGTTGTTTATCAGGAGCCGCATTGAAGTCTCCTGTTATGATCACTGGGATACCCACCGAAAGCCGAGGGAGAAGAGATTAAAAGAATGTTTGTCGATCCCCAATATCACTAGGTCTGTAAACAGTGTACTAAACACAGTGGATATTGATGACTCCCAATTCCAACATTGCTAGGATAAAGACCCACCTCCCTTCTATTGGGTCCGCCTCCTAGTATAGGGTTTCTACTTTAGACCCCGACGATACCCATATGGCTACTCCAACACTTTCTGGCCTAGGGGCATGTGCCATGTACGATGTATGAGGTGATACCTCCTTTAATTTGTTTTTATATATATACTTTTTGACGAAATGGCAGTTCTTATAAGCATGATGATGAAAATTTGTATCCATGAGATAGGTTTATTGGATATAGATAAGATATGACCATTCCTTGCCATCAATTCCTTTGAGTTGATCGTATATGGCTTGTTTCTTACTCTGTTTGGCAGAAGTCAATCCATTTACATTGAGGGATCTAAGGTCCAAATCAACATAATGATTTATCTTGAACAACTTCCATAGTTTAACCTTATTATATAAAACATCAATAAGTTTGATTCCTTCCATTCTTTTTTCATGGTCTTTTAATACCTGCTCATTAGAGGTTAAAAAAAACATCTTGGTGATAGATTCTCACCATACCGATCAAGATCCCCTCTCCAAGACTCCCCCTACTTCCAAGGTTGCATGTATGAGAAGTCTAACAAGGAGGGTGGTCACGTCAGATTCTGACAAGAACGTACTGACCTTAATTTTCAGTTGTTGGAGCTTCTTGAGTACTTTCATTCCCATCCACCGGAGATCTATATCTTTTGCTTCCTCTAATTTTAGGTAAACATCACGTCCCACAATTCTATGTGAATCAGATATCACTATTAGAGCGGATGAAATTCCTTGGGGAAACTCCTCTTTAACATATTTAATAATATCCATCTTAATTAGAGTTTCCCCAGCCTTCCCCTCTGTTAAGGTGGACACCATACAAAGCTCCAGGAGGCACCGACAATCCAACAACCCAATTACCTTTTTTGAACCTGACGGGGATAATTACCATTCTCATTTTTGAAGGGGGGGAATCAGTTTGCTCATTTTTCATTCTCAAACGCAGTTTCTATCTCTGGCTGGTGATCTTCAGAGTCGGTGGAGAGGAGAAGGGGGTTTACTCACTGCAATGTTGTACCAACTCTGTTGTTTGAGGTGTCTGTAGGTCTTCTGTGGAGACGGAATCTTATTCATTACAGGGATATACCTGAACTGTTTTCTGCATATTCTGCAACTCCTCGAGATATCTCGGAAAGGGGAAAAAAAAATAATTTGTGTATTAAGTATTGTTCTTATTCATCGTTTACACCTTCTTTTTTTTTTTTTTTTTTGATTGCCTTCATGCATGTGGCAGCAGGGACTAGGTGCAATGCCAACATAAAGAAACAAGCCTTACAAGGGGCGTTCATTAGCTATGGGAAAAAATTCGCTAAACGGACATGGTGGTCGAAAACAAAAAGGCCAGACTGTTTATTTTTTATGAAAAAAGGACAGAAAAGAACGTGCGCTTAGTCAACAGCAGCAATCGGCTCCTACGATAATTATGAAGCCACACAACTGTAAGTTTGTAACCCTATCTTCACTGCGATTACTAGGTGTATTACGGGATTTTGACAAATTCACCCAAATTGTGAAAGTCATGAGGAAAGAGTATTCATTGCCACAAAGCAACGGTGGAAAGAGACAAAGGAGGAAAAACGAGGATGAGGAGAGAGAGAGAGAGAGAGAGAGAGAGAGAGAGAGAGAGAGAGAGAGAGGTGCTGCCAAGAGTCAACCCATGTAAGAACATAGTGAAAACTGGACCGACAAAGCGCAGCGACCCTATGGTGCTTTTCATCTGGCCGCCGAAACCGGAATCTTCAGGGGTCACAAGAAGGGGGATCGATAGAGTAGCAGAGAATAGTATCAGTAGCCTATTCCTCTCAGTCTCAAGTAGAAAAGAGTCGAGAAAGAAGTAGAAGTTCCCAGAAAATCAGACAGTGTCCGACAGAGAATTGTGCCAGAAAGTAGCATCAGGTACCGAGGGTTAGGAAGAACAAGACTAGAACAAAGCCAGGTACCACGAGAGAAACAGAAATCGGGCATCTCTCATTTCGATCCCACCACACTGCGCTTTCATCTAAAGAACAACTGCAAAGCAAAAACATAACAGTCGAAGAAAAGAGAAGAGAAGAGAAGAGAAGAGGAGAGGAGAGTAGAGTAGAGGAGAGGAGAGAAAAGAGAGAAGAGGAGAGCAGAGGAGAGCAGAGAAGAGAAGAGAAGAGAGGAGAAGAGAAGAAAAGAGAAGAGGAGAGGAGAGGAGAGGAAAGAAGAGGAGAGCAGAGGAGAGCAAAGGAGAGCAGAGAAGAGAGGAGAATAGAGGAGAAGAGAAGAAAAGAGAAGATGAGAGGAGATAGGAGAGGAGAGAAGAGGATAGAAGAGGAGAGAAAAGGAGAGGAGAGGAGAGAGGAGGAGAGAGAGGAGACGAGAAGAAAAGAGACGAGAAGAGATGAGACGAGAAGAGAAGAGATGAGAAGAGACGAGAAAAGACCGACGAGACGAGACGAGAAGGAGAAGGGGAAGTAGAAGGGGAAGGAGAGGAGAAGGAGAAGGGGAGGAGAAGGAGAAGGGGAGGGAGAGGAGAAGGAGAGGGAGAGGAGAGGAGAGGAGAGGAGAGGAGAGGAGAGGAGAGGCGAGGAGAGAGGAGAAGAGGAGAAGAGGAGAGATAACAAGAGAAGAGAAGAAAAGAACAGAAGAAAAGAACAGAAGAAAAAGTCCCAGAAAATAAGAGTACACCGTACCGTCGGCCGAGGCCAGAACGACGCTGGCCAGTTTTGCCCCCCCCTTGCTTAACCGGTAGCTTATGGGAGCTTGAGGCCTGGTAGAGAGATTTGAGGAGGTGGCTTGCTGATTAGCTGCCGCTTTCAGTGGCTGATGGTGGGTTGAGGCTAAAGCGACGCTGGCTGGTGCTGCCCCCCCCGCCACCTAGCTCTGTAACCCGTAGCTGGCGGGAATTTGAGGCCTGGTAGAGAGACCTCGGGAGGGGCCACCAGCCTGCATGACACTTGGGGGGGTCTAATAGCGAGCTATCAGATGGCGGAAGGGCAAATAGCTGAAGAGATGGTCGCTCCTTAGCACTACGTCTTGCTGGAGGGGGGCGGTTGGGATGGTTGCCAGTTTTTTTTTTTTTTATGGTTGCCAGTTTAACCTCTGTAGAACGCTTCAATTCCTTTTTTTTTTTTTTTGGGGGGGGGGGGAGATGCTCCCAGGACCCACCCCTACCTACCCCTTCGTTCTTCTTCCTTGGCGTAACCCCTGGTTCCCCATCTACAGGGGCACGTGTATTCCTTTCTGTATGTTCAATATATTTACTTCCAATAGTTTAAAAAAAAGGGTTGTTGATGAATTTTCTTGAACCTTCCTGATTGTTCTCAGCCGAAGCTGGGTAATGGCCTCAGTATCTCAAACTGTTCACTGCAATTCCATAAGGGATGTTGGGCCTGGTTCCCAGCACGTGTTGCTCCCCACGAATGGATTGGCGCATTGTTTCAATAAATAAAAAATAAGGTGATTTGTCCCCAATACAAACATCTGCAGGATCGCCCGTTTTGTACAGAAAAGTTAGAAAGGCTAGGGCGCAGTTACGGTTTCAGTTTGAAAACGCGCTTCAGTCACAATTTTGCGAATGTTGTGCCAAAGTGAGGAAAATCGTGAATGTATACAACCTAGCACGTGAAAGTTAGAAAGGCTAGGGTCTGGTGGGGATGTGTTGTATTCGAGGAGTGCCTGAAGTGGATTTTAAACTGAAATCGTAACTGCGCCCTAGTTACCCCCAAAAGTTATTATTCGCATTTTATTCCTTTCAATAACTCGGCACAAAAAAATGCACCATTGAAAATGGTCTGTACGACTTTGTTGGATATTCGAGAACGCCTATTACAATTCTCTAGGGAGTGGCTGGGTGGGGATCGGGAGGGGTAGGTAGCGGAGGTCTGTTGGTCAGGGGACTGGGATGGGGACGTTGGCAGGGAGGGCCATGATGCAGAGGTAGTCCCAAGGGACAACCACCTGAGTTTCAAAGAATGGTTGTCGATAGACTCGTGCATCCCTATGAGACAAGCTGAGGAATTTCCAGACCCCTTCCCTCCACATCCGGGGTCTCTGGAATTACGTCTGTAATTGTCTGATAATGTTTGGGGTGATTTTTGGGCTCTTTGGTCAGTTCTTGATTATCGTTTTTTTTCTTGTTTTAGCCTACTACCGTCTGTGTTTTGTTCCCCCCCCCTTTTTGTTTTCTTTGTTACCAACCTTCCCTTTGCTGCAAATATGGATATGCGGCGGCCAAAGACAGAGGTGCAAGGCGGGCATTTCAAAGGAAAGGCAGGGAGATGGCAGGATAACCACTGATGCCCCCCAGTGGCTCCTCCCGGTTCCTTGTCCAGGCTCAAGGATGGAAAGGGTGATGGTCGCTTTTTTTGTATGGGTCACTGGACCTGTTGCAAATAGATGGTAGCAGTAGAATTCTGGAGCCAGGTTCCCCCCCTGCTCAGTCAAATCCCCTGGTTCCAGGGCAATCAATGCTGGCAGGATCCACCTATAGTTTCTTCAATGTATTCCAATATATCATGTTCATAAGGGACGTTGGACCCGTTTTCCAGCAGGTGAGGCTCCCCACCAATAGATGGAGCATTGTTTTGTTTCAAGAAAAAAAAAAAAAAAAAAAAGGTCTTTCGTCAAGTCGGGCAATACTTGCATTTTATCATGGCTATGCCGGACCCGGACCCGCTTAGTCAATGTCCGGATTCCGGACGCAGGTCCAGAACTTTCCGGATGTCCGGAGTTCTGGACACATTCGGACTTCCGGACATTGGCTGTTCCGGACCGTCCAGACTTCCAGGCAGGTTCGGAAAAGTCCGGAACGTAAAAAAAACTGTTTTTTCACGGGATGGGAAGTAGTAGTACACACTTGTAGTAGTTTCAAAGTACACACTTTTAGTTTAACATACACACTGTATTACACACTTGCAAAGAAAAACAAAATGACGTACCTCCACGCCTCGACCCCGTCGTACCTGCGAGCACACACATAAACAACACAAAAGAGACACTGGTCTTCGACAATTGCAAGTGAAAAAAAAAAAAGTTAAAAAAGAGAGAAAATTGAGAAAATAATTAAAATTTAAATTCATCGAACCAGAGTGCGGTTCCGAAGACTGAACTTAGGGACTTCCTTACACAACTTTATAACAGCTCACATAACTTAATCTCTCTCTCTCTCTCTCTCTCTCTCTCTCTCTCTCTCTCTCTCTCTCTCTCTCTCTCTCTCCCTCCCTCCTTGCTCTAATCTTTGCGTTTTTTTTTTGCAAGCGGTTCATCTTCAGAATCAGCACCCGACGATTCAAAAGATTCGTCTGTGCTGCTGTCCTCCCGCTCTTCGGCTTCGGGGCTGCCCTTCCGAGATGTTTCACCCTCTGCCTCGGGGCGGGTGGCCTCCACCTGCATCTCCTCTCCTGGCGAGGCCTTCCGCGGTTGCCCTCGAGGCCTCTTCGCTGCAACCTCAACAGCAGCATCCTGTTCGCTCCCCTGCTCACATGCCTCTCCATCTTCCACCATAGCCACCACATCCACTGCGGCATCCTGCACCTGTGCCACCTTCCGCGGTCGCCCTCGAAGCCTATTCGCGGGCCCCTTCACATTTGGTGCACACGCTTCAGGTCTCGCACTGATATACTTCTCAGCATGCTCGTGAGTGACAGTCTTGCTCGCACACTGAGATTCCTCCAAATGCAACCGGGCGAGGTACAAAGAAGGCCGTATGGCCTTCCTCAATGAAAGCAGGTCCTTGTTGAGCTCCCTTTCGAGCTCAAGCAAGCTGCTGCTGGCCCGCCGGCGTGCGATGGGGTTTGTCGTGGCGACGTTCTCAACGCCACCATCATCGTCGTCGTCATCTTCTTCTCTCTTGCCATCCTCTCCCTCCTCCCTATCCCTGCGCAGCTTGGCTCTCCACTCCTCCACCCTCTTCTTTGCCTCGTCGTACAATTGCTCCGGTGTCAAGTCCCCAACCCCGTTCCTCCATGGCTTCTTCTTCTTCGCCTCCTCCTTTTCATCAGACTTCTTCTCTGGATTGTCCAACAGATGCTTGTTCCATCTGTTGTACACCAATCTGCTCAATTTTCCGACTCCAACTTGAAGGCTGTTCCGTGGTTTGGTGTGAATTCTTTCGAAGAGACTCCAGTTCCGCTCGCACCCCGAGGCAGAGGACCCCTGTCCAAGCAAACGGATCGCCTGGCGTTGCAAGTTCGGCATGTCGCTGCACCACTTCCTCCACCATCTCGCTGGCTGGCCTTTGGACATGTCTGCAAGGGCTCTCTCACTTCTGAACTTCCCCGTCCCTTCAATCCAGCAATTTACTTCCTCGTTCAACCCCCGGTACGCCGACGGCTTCGCCCAAGAGTACAACCATGTCCAGAATCCATCCATTACCTCCGGATCCTTATCCAGGCTAGAGTCCCTGAACTCAGGATCGAGAAACATCGCTGCACAATGCAGCGGAGAAGTCATCGTGTTCCACCTTCGCATGATGATCTCCTCAGGCTCCCCTTTTTCCACTTCTGTGAAACAGTCCTTCTTCCCTAAGCTCTCCACAACCTCGTCCATGCGCCCGTAGATCTTGCTGATCGTCGGGCTGACTCCGTCACTCAACTTCAACAAATCGAGGAGTTGTGAGGACGTCTTTTGCACCTTCTCCACTTCCGCCCAGAAATCATTGTCCAAGATGGTCGCTGTTGCAGCGTGAAACAAGTGACGCTGCCCTGGAAGCACGATGCTTTCCTTTCAGTCCTTATCCGTCAAACATGTTCGCAATGGCAGATACTAGTCCTGCACGCTGTCCAACATGATGAAGTTCGTGGCGAATCGAGTCGCCCCGAGCCTCGTGAGAATTGCTCCACGAGATTCAACGAGAAGCAAGTCTCTGACCTTCGTGTGGTTCATAAAAAATTTCACCAGCTCTACTGCCTTCTTGAGCACCACGTCCAGCCAACCGATCTTCCCGAATTGTTTGAAAATCAGGTCAATGCTGTGCGCTGTGCACGAGACTGAGAAGATGTGGTTGAACTCAGCTTCGACCGTCTGCCCCACAGCTGCGCATGTGGCTGCATTATCCATCACCACCCCTACGACTGACTCCTCCCCGATCTCGCGGATAACCCTCGCCAAAATGTTGAAGTATGCCTTCGCCCCTTTGTCCCGACATTGCATGCAAACAGCCTGCCAAAAGACGATGCCTTTGGGGAAGGAAACCATGATGTTCAAGAATGGTCTTCCTCGTCTATCGGTCCACCCGTCAAGTTGCAACATGCAACCGCTGATGGGCCACTCCTTCCTCAGGTGCTCCATCCTCTCCGACACCCGCTTTCTCGTAACAACCACCCTTTTTGTTCGCACATCATCAAATTTCACGTATTGGAAGGACTTAGGCGCATTCATAAACTTTTTCACCATCCTGTCCAATTACACGCTCCGCATCATGTTGAACGGTATGCACTTAGCAGTCATCCAGTCGTCCACCGAACGTTGAGTTTCCTCATTCTTCGTGATGATTGTTGCATTGTCGGTGATTTTAGTCTGTTTGGTGGCTGTTGTTGATGTCCTCGTCTGCGCAACGATAGTGACCGCATCGTCTGCATCATTCTCGTCCTCTCTCGAAGAGGAGTCATTCTGACTAGCTGCTCCGGAAACCAACCCCCCAAGCTCTGTAATGGCGGCGTTTCTTCCTTCCACCCTCCGTTCCAATTCCTCCTTGCTGATTGTGCCCCTCAGACGCTCGACAGCGCAAACACCATTGAGGAAGTGTGTCCTCAGCCGAGATGAGGTCCCAGTTCTCTCCTTCCTGGTCGCAGTACCTGCATCTCCTCTTCTTGTTGGCCTTGTCTAACGGGCCGGACGGAGCGATTTCTTCGAAGTGCTTCTTCACTCCTTGGGCTGAGTGCTTCGTCATGATGGTGCAGAACACATGTAGGGCACAAAACAATGCGAAATGGAGTGAGAGTCTAACACCTGCCGACATCCCATCAAACTCCCTCCTACCCCCACCCCCCATGGGGTCGAATGTTCGATATGATTAATTGCGGGGGATGCACAACAGCAAGTGCCACATAAGCATTTCCGAAACTCGAATTGATCGGACAACGTATCCCCACCCCCCCATTGGGTCAAAAGTCTGAAATGATTTGTTGCATGGGGGTGTACGAATAAACGAAAAACATTCAGAGTTTTAAAGTACTAGTGCCAGGTAAGCATTTCCCAACACCCATGATTGATTGATTGATTGATTGATTGATTGATTGATTAATTGATTGATTGATTGATTAATTGATTGATTGATTGATTGATTGATTGATTGATTGATTGATCGACCGCTTGATCGGTCCGTTGGCTGTTCGTGTTGTTGCTTGGTTGATTGATTGATTGATTGATTGATTGATTGATTGATTGATTGATTGATCGACCGCTTGATCGGTCCATTGGCTGTTCGTGTCGTTGTTTGGACAACGACACGGACAACCAACGGACCGATCAAGCGGTCGATCAATCAATCAATCAATCGATTTGTTCCATCATTCCATCGAACGATCAGTCGATCAATCGATCAATCAATCAATCAATCAAGCAAGCAAGCAAGCAATCAACAAGATAGTTTGAGAAGAAGAATCAATCATTGAACGGCACACTTGGGCGAGAAGAAAAAACGAGAGAAAGAGAGAGAGAGAGAGAGAGAGAGAGGTTTTGGATGTCGAAGGCTGACGAAGTCAAAATGTCCAAGCTTGGCCGCACAAGAGAGAGAGAGAGAGAGAGAGAGAGAGAGAGAGAGAGAGAGAGAGAGAGAGAGAGAGAGAGAGAGAGAGAGAGAGAG